ATCTTTGTCATCATGGGCTGTTATCTGAATTTATTTATTGAATCACCATGAGAGCAGTTACAAAGCTCTCAGGTTTAAGTCTCAGTCATACAGTGATGAAGCACCCGTCCCTTCATCAGTGCACATTTTCTACCACCAAATACTCCAGTATATCTCCCCCATCCCAAACCCTCCCCCTACTTGTGTGGCAGATGATTTCCATAGCACTCTCTCTCCACTTTGATCACATTCAATATCTCAACACCAGACCCACCATTATTATTTGGGATTTTACCCCCACACTCAGATCTGTTGAAAAGACAACATTAGGCAATCGGTCCTCCATTGCTGATTATGAATAACATATCACGGCCACGCAATATTGGAATTCTGAAATCTTAATAATTAAATCTGGAGGGATTTCTGCCAAAAGTTACTGGCTTCCAAGATTTGTTTCTGAGTCTCTGGGATTGTGGCTTAAGCAGCTCAATCAGTAGCCAGAGTTTGTGGTTGGCGACCCAGGGTCTTGTTGGGGTTGGGGAGGACCTTTAATGTTATTTTGGTGGGAAGAGATAAATATTTGGGCTCATCCATCATGATTTACTGCAATTTTTTCCAGGGGCAAAGAATTCGGGAAGTGCCCATTTTATCCCTTTTAGTTGAATATTCAAGTTCTTTCTCCCTTGCTCCTCTTGGGGGGGGGGGGGGTGCCCATATCCATTGAAATCTTATAATATGGAGCTGAAAATAAAATATCATGATATTATACCACCTTAACTCTTTTTTTTCATGAGGCTCCTGAACATTAAAAATCATTTTCCACAGAATGATTGTATTCATTATGTCTGAGCTGTGTACTCTTTCATTTGTAACTTTTGATTTTTCCTAAATAACACTTATTTGGCTGGACTGATAGCACAGCGGTAGGGCGTTTGCCTTACGCACAGCCAGCCCGGCCAAGCCGGGTTCGATTCCTCCACCCCTCTCAGAGAGCCTGGCAAGCTATCAAGAGTATTCAATATGCCAAACACAGTAACAAGAAGCCTCACAATGGAGACGTTTACTGGGCCCGCTCGAGCAAATCGATGAACAACGGGAGGACAGAGATTTATTTATTTATTTATTTAACACCAATTTCAGGAATATCATTCTCAATTTGTCCTTTGAAATGAGTATGAGCTTGATGTGGTGAATCTGTTAACTCATGAGCTAGGCACAGAATGAGGATTGGGGCCTAGTCTAATAGGTAAAGATCAGAATTATTATATGATCTAATACTAGAACTATCTATAGTGACCTTCAGATATTTTTCTCTTAAGTTCCAAGGCCATTATCCAAGGGAAAGGGAAAGTTAGCCAGTGGAACTCGTATAGGAAGAACTTTAGATAGGCTTTTATAGTAAAGAAGTATTTGAATTTAAACTATCCAGACAAAGGGATTAAAAGGTACAGGTGCCTAGAAATTCTGGGAACATTCGTGGTTGGTTTCCCTAAGAACAGTAAGGCTTGTATACCTGGATCATTTGAACACTGTCAAGAGAGTTTTCTGGTGATACTAGATTTTCCAGGGTCAGATTTTGTTGGGTGCTATAAACCCTAGTAAAGTGTTCAGTTTTTATTCTAAGTAGATTGCAACTGTTGAAGAGTTTCAAATAAGTAACTCAGTGATCTTATTTATATTTTAGAGGGTTCATTCTGGAGCAAATTAAAAATAGAAGCAAAAGGTGAAGATAGAAAGCTATTGTAAATCAAACGAGTGAAGTTGTTCGTTTGGAAGTAGTGAGAAGGAGAGGAGGTGGCCAAAGAGATTTGTGATGAAATGCACAGGACTGGTTAGTGGATTAGTGTGTAAGGAGTGTGGTCTAATGTGATCCTATATACATTTGGTAGTTTTTGGACCCGTTTTCAAATTAGTTGGATATACTTCTGAAACCTCTAAGATAGGAGTAAATACGTGCTTTCTACAATTGATGTAGTGGGAGTTTACTGATAAACTTTGAACTGTAGAAACAGAAAAAGACTTATTTTTTGATGATCTCATCTAGTCTCCCAGACCGGTTGCTTTAAAGAATACCCATAGGCTAATGACTCTAGCATTTTTACCTTCAGTCTGAACTTGTAACTTTTAACTCTATACCCAAATATTGCTTACTTCCATCAAATGTAACATACTCCAATCAAACTCCTTATCTTTTCTCCCAACCCATAGGCCCTTGGGAATCTTTTCTGTTTCAAGCTCCATCTTTCCGTTGCTTAATCAAAACCCTTAGAATTGTTCTGAAACCTTTGATCTTCTCTTTCCTCCCTCTCTTTCACTCCCTCTGCTTACAACCCCCCCCACACACATACATACAAAAACACACATCATTCCAAAATCCTATACTCAAAATATATTCAGAATTGATCACTACATGGCTACCACAGTTATCTAAGATGCCATCATCTTTGTCTGGATTATGGGAAAAGACTGCTAATTGCCCTTGCCACTTTGATCTTGCCTATACATTCTACTTACAATATGTCAGCTAGAGTGATTTTCAAAGAATGCAAGTTAGATCTCACAACTGCTCTACTGAATATATTCCAGGACTCTTAGCTATCCTCAGTATGAAAATCAAAGACCTACATGATTTCATTCTTTGATGTCAACTCCTACAAGAATTCATTGTTTGACCTCAGCTCCTGCTCAGAATATTAGGGAATACTTTCTTTTGAGGTTCCATGTTAAAAAATATTTCTTATACAACATCTTTGAGTTTTAGATATTCTACCAGCACACACAAGTAAAAGACATAAAGGTCCTGCATTTTGGCTGCAGATATTTCTAGAAATAGAATATTCTTTTCAAGGAGTTTAAATGATAAGTGAGCCAAAATTCAAAGGTATTCAAATTCAATGAACTGAAACATTAGGAGATGTTTGGCAGAATCCTTATTGAAAATAATGTGCAAGAAAGAATTACTGGGAAAAAAGAATACTGAGTTTCCCTTTTCCTCTTTATTTATACTGCTTTCTTTGTATTGATGAATCTATGTGATTTTGTCTTATAACATTTAATTCACCACTACTAATTATAATTAGTTTATAATTATGAGCTATTTTTAACACTTGGAGAAAAAAATTTTTCCTTACCTGCTTTTATTATCACTGCGTATTCTATAATTAGTTATTCTCCACTCATCCTTGCAATACTTGTATATCTCACTTACTACTAAGTGAGATATACAAGATTTATTGGAGGTATGGATGAGTTGGAGATCCCAAAAGGCCAAAATCCAGAAGCAGGTACTTGGATCAACAACTTAGTGATGTCACTGTCACTGTCACTGTCCTCCCATTGTTCATCAATTTGTTCGAGTGGGCCCAGTAACATCTCCATTGTGACAATTGTTGCTGTGTTTGGCATATTGAATACGTTACGGGGAGCTTGCCAGGCTTTGCCCTGTGGGAGAGATACTCTCGGTAGCTTGCCGGGCTCTCCGAGAGGGGTGGAGGAATCGAACTCAGGTCAGCCATGTTGGCCGCTTGCAAGGCAAATGCCCTACCGCTGTGCTGTCACTCCAGTCCAACTTAGTGATGACCTATGTCTTTTCCTTTAAAAACGTGGTATTGTATGACCAATATGTGCATTTGACCATTGAATAGCATGGATTTGAATTGCACAGGTCCACTTACATGCAGGTTTTCTTGAAAAAATGACAATGTGAATGTATGTACTATATTGATAAATACAATATAGTACCAATAATATATTTTCTCTTTGATTTTCTTAATAACTTTCCCCCCATGGGTTCATTTTAAAAATACAGTATATAACATATCCTACAAAATATGTTTTAATTGACTTTGTTATTGTTAAGGTTATTAGTCCAGTTAAGTTCAGGAGGGCCATCAGAAGTTTTACATGGATTTTCACCTGCATAGGGATTGTCAGTGATAACCCAATAGATGGCAGAAGAGGGATAATAGCATTGAGTGTGTGTGTGTGTGTGGGGGGGGGTTGGCCTGGTATCAGTGTGTCCCTGAAACAAACATTTATAACCTTGTAGGCCATTGTTACCTCAATAAAAACAATTGGCAGAATTTGGCAAAATTCTGAATAGGTAGCATTGAGGTTTTACATTAAGAATTATATCCTATGTGTTTAGGTTATTGTAGCAATTGTGTTGAAATTAATGTTAATACCTTCTGTTATGTCTAATGGTGAATATATGCCAATGTTCATGATTGAGAAGTAGTAGACAATAGATTTGTTGGCTTTTCCTGTAGTTTCATGATTCAGGATAATCATTTCAAAATAAATGTGGGTTATTATTTTCTAATTATAATTTAGAAAAATCAGATATACAAAAAAGCTTAAAGGTAGCTGTTCTGAGTACTTTATTATATATAGTTGCTCTATTTGTTATGATACTTTATGCCTTTTATGCAAATGTAAGTCTAAAGTGAGATAACAACTCTATATACTATTTTATAGCCTCCTCTCTACTCTGAATCATGAACATATTTCCATGACTATATGAACTTAAAAAAATCCTTTTTGATGGCTACAGTATGTGATAAAGTTGCCTTTTCTTTTATAAAAAATATATTAGTGTAGAAAATGAAAACTGATTTGCGTTAATGAGTTAGAAGGCCTACAATTTAATATATAAGAATATTTTTGTCACACACATATCATTGTATTAAATGAAAAGTACCTTCAAATATTCTTAACAAAATATAGTAATGATCTTAATTACTGAATAAACTGATTTGTTTTTGTGGCAATTACAAAAAATATTTTGGATACCTATTAAGTGCCAACATTGATCCAGGTGCTGGGGATGCTTTGAATTCAATGTATGAGGTCTCTAACCTCAAAGAGTTTATATTCTGAAGGGTTAGAAGCAGATACTAAACTAATAAGAATAAAATATCACATATTAAAGCATACCTAATACTACATTTTTTGGTAACATTTGACATTTGGTTCTGAATTGTGCAGAATTGATGATTCATATATTATAATTATATTTTCAGCTTTGAGAACAGTGAAAATCAAATAGATTACAGGACATTTTTTGATGCTCTGAACTGGAGGCAAAATCCGAAATACCGAGTGGAAGGTCCACAATTTTATGAGAAACAGGTAAAATTAAAACATTTTAAAAGCCATTGGGGATAACTTTCTTGTAACCTCTACCTTAAAATTATTTTTCAATGTAAAATATTAACATCAGGGTTTTGGAAACAGAGCTCATATGTTTTTGGGTATTTGTGTTAAAGGCTAATTCACTTTCCATGCTGAGTAAACATCTGCTCTCTCAGAGCATGACTTTTCTTATTGCAGCTGAATTTTTCTTAACCTCAGTTGCATCCAATTATATGGAAAATAGAATAATAGCTTATAGTTATAAATAGATATAAACACTGTTATCAAGGGATTCTGGTAACATCATCTTTATGAGCCACAAAGGCACATCTCAAATAGTGCATCTGTCAGTCCTCAGTGTATCCATGGCTGTGCACACAGGTTTGCTTTGGACGAAACAATATGATATGGCAATACATTTTTCACAGTGGAGCCAGTTTTAAAACCAAGATTCAGTTATTTTAAAGAGCTTGGTTAGGGAAAACAAAGTTCGTGTGATTAGATGCTGCTCTCAACATTGTGGAATTGTCTGAATTCTCTAAGGTCTCTTTGGACCAATTGTCTTTAGGAGTGGGTGGGTGGGTGGGTGGTAGTTTGTTTATATTTTAACATGCTTCAGAAATTGATTTTCTTGGGAAAGTCTCTTGATAAAGCAAATGTCATGTGGTTGATACTCCCAAAAAGGAGGCATTTATTCCTCTGGTCTCTACTGACCAGCTCATTCTGGCCAGAACTGCTTTAGCTCCCCTGGGAGTTCATGCAATTATTCTGCAGTGCCAGGCAGCCTTAGAACTTCCAGTGGGTTGGGAGACAGTTGTAGCCTTTAGAGTCAAACAGAATTGGGATAGAATTCTGCCTCTGTTCCTTGATTAACTGATTGACTTTGGATCATTTACTTAGCTCATTCATTTATAATGTTATTTCTCAGATAAATCATAATTGGTATTACTCTCAGCACATTCTAGACTTTGTGCTAGGTTCCAGTGACAAAAGTCATTATTACTACCTTTGAGGAATCCACAACTGGTGTGTGTGGGGGGGGGGGGGGCGGGGATCAATATGCTCATGATTTGGAGTATGGCATGATACTGCCTGCCTGAATGCTATAGCAGGAGGAAGAAGCTAGTTAAAACTCAAATTTGAACAGAAAGTATTTCCCAGGGATGTGACTCTTGGAATTTCAACGGTGAATAGTAATAATTAGCAAGGTAAAAAAGTGGCGCAGTATGGAAGGGCATCCCAATATCAGCTCAGGGATATGGAACAGTGTCACTGGCATAGAACCCAAAGGAATAGATATGACATAAATGAAGGCTCAATGGAAAGAGCAACAAAAGAGATGAGTCTGTGGGTGGGCAGATAGATAGTACAGCAGGTAGGGCACTTATCTAAGCCCAATTTGATTTCCTGCACCCCATGTGGTCCCCTGAGCCTTGTCAGAAGTGAGTGATCCCTGAGTGCAGAGTCAGGAGTAAGCCCTGAGTACTCCCGGGTGTGGCCTAGTATGAACATATACAATGAAACAAATGTTTCAGATAGCAATATTATTCTAATTCTATGTGGTACAATATGATCTTTATTTTTTCCCTTTTCCTTTCCTTCCCCTTTATTGTGACCCATTCATTTTATTTACAAACCCACAAAATGATTACTCCAGGAGGAGGCAATGTATGCCTAAAAATCCACTCTCCTTATGGACTGAACATGTTTGCCACTCAATGCCTCTTTTGCAGGCCACAACACCCAAAAGGAGAGAGAGAACACAGGGGATTGCCCTGCCACAGAGACAGGGGGGATGGGGGGATGGGGGTGGGAGGGATATTATCCATGGTGGTGGAAAATGGGCACTGGTGGAGGGATGGGTATCTGATCATTGTATAATTGAAACCAAAGCACAAAAAATTGTAAATCTACAACTTTAAAAAAAATAAAATAAAATAAAGGGAAAAAAAATCCACTCTCCTTTAACCACACCTCCCCCCTTCCCCCTCTTACCAATTTTTTGGGTGGGACAGTTACTGTTGCCCTGCTGCTTGCTGTAGGCCTGAAATCCTTTAAATGAACTGTGTGGAGCAGAAGGTCTAGAATTACATGAACCTAAATTTAGATTGTTAGCCCTATTGCCAATTAGCTGCATGACTTTGTGTAAGTTACTCAGGCTTTCTCCATCTAAAAACTAAAGCACTGTAGCACTGTCCTCCCGTTGCTCATCGATTTGCTTGAGCAGGCACCAGTAACGTCTCCATTGTGAGACATGTTTTTACTGTTTTTGGTATATCGAGTATGCCACAAGGAGCTTGCCAGGTTCTGCCGTGTGGGAGGGATACTCTTGGTAGCTTGCCGGGCTCTCCAAGAAGGATGGAGGAATCGAACCTGGGTTGGCTGCATGCAAGGCAAATGCCCTACCCGCTGTACTATTGCTCCAGTACATATAGCTCTGGCTAGTCCAAAAGTAGTGAGTGGTCACAAGGTCAACCTAAAAGTTAAACGGTGCAAAAACTAAAGATCAAAGGATATTGGAGTTAGCAATAGTAACTCACATTTATTGATTTGTTATGTGTGCCAGGAAATAAGTTTACTTAATTCTTCTCACATCTCTACATTTTTCAAATTAAGAGAGTGATAAAAAGAAATTTTTATCCAAGACCACCTAGGTATAATAAAATGAAGGAGACTGAAATTTAAAGCTAGGCAATTAGACCTCAGAGTTCATGTTCTTAGCCCGTATATCGTCTTACCAAGATGTGGATAATTGACAATGCAATTAGCTATTCTCAAGTGATCATCAGAACTGTCATTTTCGTCATTATTGTTTTTATAGTATGCTGAGGGGACTTACATCTCATGAAAAACAGTTCCCAAAGTAGTCTTTTATTAGTGGAGTTTTGTTCTTTCACCTCTGTTGTTGATATCTATGAATATTCTTTGACTTAAATGAATAACAAAAGGCTTACCTATTTCAGAAATAAAAACTAGAGATCAAAATAGTACTTACATCAGAGTTGTTGCAATGATTAAGTGGTTACACATGAGGCACATCACAATACCTGTGTAAGGACTTAATTATTGCTGGTTATTATTGTTTGTAAAATGGAGGTATATTATATTCTAAAGTCAGGAGTTTGTGTCTGAGAAATTCCTTTAAAGGAGAAAGTCTATGAGAAATCATTAATAATAGAAGTAAATAAATAAATGTTAGGTAAAAAAAAGACTTAGGTCAGTGATTCTTTCCTGAAAGTCAAAATAAATAAAGACTGTGGTTAGTGATTCTACCCTGAAAATAAGTGATTCTCTCCTGAAAGTTGAAGAATTACAGAATAAGAATATTCTCAAAAAGATTCTGTGCTTCAGCAGTAGGATCTTCCAATTATTACTTGGTAAAACTGAGATGAACTATACCCTTAGGGTTTCTCATCAGTTCTTTTTACTAAACCTAAAAGCATATCAGCCCAAAGGAGGCATTTGGGAGAGACCATTCCTTTTCAGCCAGTTGAAATAAGAAATACAGGTATAAATTAATACCCTGATTTTTGGAGTTATATGCATGGATAAGCATTGCTAACAGTACTGTAAATTACAGAAACTCAATAATCTTTTAAAATGCCTTATAAATTTTACTTATAATGATACCTTAATCAGATTTGATTCTACAGCATTGTATGATGTCTATACTTGTTATTTTATTTCATAAAGATGCTGTAAAATAGTTACCAGCATATTCATTACTTCACGAAAATATTCAATGTGAATGGGTTGATCATAATATTTCATATTAAAATCAGTAGTGAAAAGTGTTGTTTCTAGATGTCATATAAGTGTGGGTATGGTTAAGGGAATCAATCAGGGTGGTGGAAAACTCGGGAACTAACAAGAACTGGAATTCCTTTATCATTATAGAAGCAGAGAGGGACCAGTGTTATAATCTCAGGTGGAGATTATAGCTCAAATTGTAATCACTGCTACAGCATTACCTGACAGGGAGGGAGCAAGGTGAAGAGAACTGGGGTCAATAGCCTGACCTCTTGCTGCTTCCCATTGGCTGAACCCACCAAGTAACTAGAGTACAAGGACTCTGTTATCCACAGAATTATGTCCTCCGTGCAGAGCAAAGAGTGAAAACAGTGAAGCTTGAGGAGCAAATGGAAAATAATCCGTTATAGTCTTATTATCAAAATAGTCTTGATCCCAGGCGAACAAGTCCCTATCCCAAGGTATAGGGTTAGGAATAATAGCTCCTAAATGCCAGAATTTGTCCCTCAAATTTGGATGTGCTACCCCCTTGTGTGAAAGGGAAGTGACTGCAGTAACCTGAAATGGAATCCAACAATAAGCAAGTGAAAGTTGAGAGACCTATTAATGAAAATGCTATAGCTTTGATTAGTCCTGCTACCCTCTCTTAAGCATGTTTTCTCTGTGGATAATGTAAGCTGTCATGTACCATTGCTCTTGACTGTGGCCTGTAGCTAAATCCTTGCTCAGACCTCTGCCTGGTCCCTACAGCCGCTCATGATGAGTCATCAGGACCTAATTTAACTCTCACTCTCTTATGTCACTATCTATGGTCTCTGTATGTTGCCCCAGTGCTGTCATGGCCTAGAGACCTAATTTCTACTCTTTTGTGCTTGCTCATAGATGGTAGCTGTAAAACTGGCAAAATATATCCCTTTGTTTACAGCTTGTCTGGTTAATTTCAGAGGTCACATTTTTTAAAAATAGCACTGTCTGTTCTCATATAAACTTTTTAACTTACCCTGTGTGATTGGTATCTTACCTGTTATAATTTCTAAGAAAAATTGGATGTGGTTTTGTTTTATGAGTACTGTAATTCCAGAAGCATTAGTATTTGAGTCTAAAACTCGTTGGTCAATGTGTAAGTCTGCAACTGTACCTCATTATGTCTCACTATTAAAAAATAAATAAAAAAAGAAAAAAAACTCGTTGGTCAGAACAACCTGATAAATAGATTTGGCAGTGGGAAGTAAGGGAAATTGAGTGCA